AAAGGGAAGGTACAAAAAATGAGGATATAGTGAAGGGATATCTCCTATAAAAAGCTCAAGTACGGCAGAAGAAAAACCTCACCATGGTTTTTAGATTCCTATCGGGTCTTGGCCAGGTCATGCCACACGCTCTTAGCATACGGGCAAGTCGAATCGAGTTGGCGAACCTAGCTCGAGAGATCCTTAACCGCGTCGGGGCACCATATGATAGCTGCATCATCAAAAGGAGTCGGTTTAAGGGGAAGATGTTCCAAAGGAAAGGTAAAATATTTAATTAGCAAATTCACTTACGATTCGTATTCCATTCCTCAGAGAATGGCATCCTTTGAACAAGAATTAGATTTGAGGTCCTAACTCGGACAAAACGACTTATCCACCCTCTTTCCTTGCCTTTGTCGATGCAAGCATAGAAAGCCTTCGGGGCCCGACGTTGAAGCTTAATCAGACTGCCCCGATAAAGTCGGGAACTGTACATCCTAATCAGATGGTCAAGGTTTAAAGCCATCCCCTCGACCATGTTTGCGAAATGCCTAATCATATAAACAATGTGCCAGAATGATGGATGGATTTGGCCGAGTGTTAGCCAATATTGTCGAAATCGAGGATTATGGGGTCTATCAATAATAATGAGGGTTCTACCAGACCTAGGGTAAAAGGATATGTGTATACACTAAGGAAACTCGGTTTGTGTGTCCTTACATCTTCCTCCCGAGAAGGAATATCCACTTGCACCGCCTCTCCCTAGCAGCAATCGGCTTTCAACTTCCCAGTGTCGGTTATCAGGCTAATGTACCGGGACATGGGTTCACACCACCCCAGTTTCGAAGAAGGCTTGACAACCGTGAAATTGGAGGATGTTTCATAGGGTCCGGGGATGCACTCCTCAAGACAAGGAGGTACTACGGGCTTGCCCTTAGATGAATGTGAAGATGAAAAAGCTTTATGATCTTGGGGAATGGTTCTAGAGGACTTCGCCATTTTTACTAAAAGATTTCAGAGGAAAAAAGGAAACTGGATAAGAGACGAACACAAGAAAGAATTAAGAAGATCTGTTGAAAGTTTGGAGATGTGATGAAGAGTAAGGAGTGAAGGATTGGAGTATTTATAGGGGCCAGTAGTGCGCGTTAGGGAAAGCCAAAGGACGGCCAACCGTCTTAATCAATTCGACGCTTTCAAGAGTCGTGCGAACGTGGCTTTCGAACATCCCTTTTTTCACATCAACTTTTCACATGACATAACTAACGTAATGATGGAGCCATTGAAGAGTTGAAGAATTCAAATCGTTCCTTGTTATTTCATTCCAAGGAATGCGAGGACTATCTGTATACGGTCAAAATTAGGGAAGGTCGATTTTAAGGATCCTATGGCATTTCAGGCTCGGCCTCGATGGGCTCGGCGCACGATCTAAGGATCATCCCCGAAGCACTCGCCTCAAGGGGGTATATCGAAGACTCAGCATAATGTACCTCGAGGCAACATGAAAATCGACAACCACCATTAAAGTTGACAAAGTCTACGGGAAGCAATACCTATCCGTACTAGGCCATTAAACAGCTATACCAATAGCGCTTCTTTGTCATGATTAGACATGTACTATATTGGGATTCACCCCTCCTATATAAAGGGACCCAAGCGTTCTTGTAAGAGGGACCTTTTTCTTTACTTGGTAACACAGATGAAGATTGGATACAAAAGAACAATCTCTACTTTTCTTGACTAAACATACTCAACAATTATTCCACGAATTTATTACATTGTTCTTCATTTATTACTTCTCATTTATTGTGTTCATTTATTGTTCTTCATTTATTGCTTATCATCAATCTTTAAAGGCTGCCCTTGAGGTTCCATATGGCTGAGCTCGAGGCCCTCAATCTTGTGATCACATTGGTTTGCTTATAATTTCTTTTTTTATTTATACTTAGCATTATTCACATAATAACTATTATTAAGATAAATCACGTATTTTTAGAACAACAAATCAAATATAATTATTAAAACCATTTTCAAGACAAACAATGTTGTTGTTCAGACTCTTGTATACATTATTGTTGAGCTAGGGGCTATACGTTGTTGTGACATTGGTATTGTTATTTTGGAAATATTGTGGCATATGGGCACGTGTAGTGCGAGGTGATTATTGTGTTGTGAAGTGATGCACATGCGGCTGCATAAGGGTAGTGATTCTGATGCGCATACGGCGAGATAAGGGGGATTTATGCGCATGTTGCTAGTAAGGAGAATTACTTCATTTGAACCATACGCGATGAGATAAGGGAGCTAAATCGAGTGAAGCTATTTAGGGGAAAACATTTTTAAAAATAAATGCAAGGCTCATGTGGCGATATAAGAAAGATTTGTGATTTGTGACTTGTGAAATGTGAATATGAGTTGTGGACCTCGAGGTAATTCTTGTTGTACATTCTACGTTTGAACAACTTGTTGATTTAAATGATTAATATTTTTTTAATTTATTTCACTTGTATTTTTAATTGTATTTGGTTCTTTGTTATTTTTACACATGCTTACTCTTTGTTTTCATTTATTGCTTTTACTTTATGTTGTTAGCTTTATATTAATATTCTCCTTTGTTGTCATTTATTGCTTTTACTTTCTGTTGTTAGCTTTATATTAATTTTCTGCACATGTTCCTATGTCTAGTGAGTTTGTTGACTTGACCTCATCACTACTCTACTGAGGTTGGTCTTGATACTTATTGGGTACCATTGTCGTGTACTCATACTACGCTTTTGCATATGTTTGTGCAGATCCAGGTATCTCTGCCCCATGCCAGACGCTAGTGAGTTGATTCAGACATTGAAGGGACTTCAAGGTATACATGCTTGACGTTCGCAGGCCTTAGAGTCACCTTCTAATGATCATATGCTATTGTTTATTTTATTTTCAAATAGTATTGTAATAGAGATTCCTAGTGTATTTAAGTAGACATTATGACTCTGTTCTATCGATTTTGGGAGGGTACAACTGTTGTTTTGTTTGAGCTTTTATTATGTCATTTATCATTTTAAATTAATAAATTAGTCGTTTATTTCGGTTACATTCTCAACATGTTCTAGATTTATCTAATCTTAAAGATTAGGTGCCATCACAATCCTAAAGGTGAAATTTTGGGTTCGTGACATACGGGTGCCTGATTGATAGCTTAAACCTGAATGAAGTAAACTTTGTAATAGAGTACTCTCTCAAACTTAGAAGCTAAATCCTATATGTGGAACATTGTTTGTATTAATTAAGACCCTAATCGTATGATGTAAAGTGATTGTTAAAAGTATTCTTTATATAAATAAATTACATGAGAAATTCTTCTATAGAAAATATTTTACCTGAAATCTTATAATTTTGGGTGTCTGATTGAACATAAATCCTATACAATCCTTGAACAGAGTATTTCTTCGAAAATAGTTTCTTTATCTTTATAAGGTAGGGATAAGGTCTACATATATACTATCCTTTCCAAACTCAATTTATATAATACACTAGGTTTCTTCTTGTTATTGTTGATTTAACATAAATTCTAGGGGGGCATATGATAGTGGTAGAGGGTGTTGGAGATGAGGCACGTGAACAAGTTTGGTAATTGTTGTTACTTTGTTAGTAGTAAAGAGTAAATAATGTCTACATGTTGCAATGTAGAGTAGGATAGAGAGGTTTTTCAACTAAAGATGACTTACCCTGTTATAAGTCGTTTTTATCCATTTGGTATAGAACACTTTTTTTTTGGTTGAGAAAAGTATTTTCAAGCACTCAAATACAGAATTTGTACGTATTAAAGATTTTACGTCATACCAAGGAGCCTTGATATGCAATACTTTCGTTGCTAATTCATGAAATTCTCAGAATTGAGACACCCACATGCTGAAATACAACTCCTCAGAATTCTTTGCACCTTTCTAGTTTGTCTTTTACATATTTGTGACATACTTATTGACATTTCTATTGTCTTGCGGCTTGTTTGGCTGGTTGTTACCTATTGTATTATATTGTATTGTTACTTTAAATTAATATTGATTATTACTAAAAATTTATTGTATTGTATCGTTAAATTTGTCATTACGTAACGATAAAAAGTATCACCTTATGTAACGACGGATTTGGTATGCTGGTGTCGTTACCTTACTTTTCCCCCTCATTTTACCTTCTTTATTATTAAATAATTATATTTTATTCTTTACCCTACTTTTTTATATAACAATTATACTCTGTATCCTATTTTTTTCTTAGTAATGTTACAAGTTTATTCTTCATATTTTTGGTGCATGACATCATGAAACGACGATAATTGATACAATCTATCTAAACATTGTATTAATCAAACAACGCAATACAATTCAGTACCATATAATACGATACATTACGAAACTCCATGTAACAACCGTCCAAACTGGCTGTTAATGTTGCGGCTGCCCTCATTTCATGGTTCTTTAACTGATTTTTCAATTTATTGTTATTCTGTTCTCCTTGTGTAATTGGTGTCACTTATCAGTTTTATTAATTATTAGGTGATACAGGTCAGAACCATCCAGCTGGGGTATGGCAAAATGATAGATCTATCATTGAGGTACATTTCTGTTGGAATAATCCAGATTAAAAGTGGTCGTGCTGAACAAAAGATGGTGTGTGTTTTAAATGTCTATGCCTCCATTTGCTATATTGAGTGTGAATAAGACTGTAACCAATCAGACCACAATAGGTTCAGGATCAATGAGCAATTGATGGTTATTGTCGTAGCAAATTGTCTCATGGGACCCATCATGATGTGCATTAACTTACTATTTGCAATCTTTAGGTTTCCCTTTATCTGAGGGAATTTCCTTTTTCTTTTATAGCCACTCAGGCAGCTTGGACACATGAATGTTTTGAGGCCATTGATGCTGACCTTCACGTGAAGTAAAAGGTGCTTCAGTGCCATGCGTAAAGAGATGTTGCATTCAGCATCATTGTTTTTTGGCTGGTAAACTGCAATGCATCTATAGTGTCACTTTCCTATTAAGTTCGAACCATTCTGCATATCATTTTACCAAATGGAGCACATAGAGAGTTTAGGATATTTTAATCTAGTTATATTACCTATTGAAACAGAAGTGGAGATGATATTACATCTTTTGGGTAAAGCTCTCTCCTCCTGCTGCCTCTTATTACAATCAATAATTACAGAGTATAATTTTGCCTAAATGAATAGTGAGATAGGCCCCAGGATAAAAAAAGATGCTGGCTCGAGTTTCACTTGAAAGTGGAAACTAGGTCAGGAGATATCTTCTGCTTTTCCGTTATTCTCATTGCTATTAATTTATGTTAGTGGGCATCTCGTTTCCCCGGGATACTTTGTGCTTTTGTTTTCCTTCCAGAACCTGGCAGGGAGTCCATGTTGAGGTACCGGAAACGGGCTATACTGTATCACGCCCTGAGAACCTATGACTTCCCACCTGCCATTGTTAAAGCATGAGAAAAAAAAAACACAAATGACATTATAATACAGCAATTAAACACACTTTCATGAGCTGCATATGCAAGGTATTATGAGTCTTTTAAAGAAATTTTCGGTATGATCACATTATAATCTTAGTGAGAACTGGAATAGAAAAGAAGCTTCTTTTCTATGTTTGACAAGTCCTGTGGGTTTTTGTGGCACCCAAGTGTTCAAGAATTTTAATAGTCCTATATGAATTTTGGAAGTGTCAAATTAAGCGTATACCATGATGGAAAAAAATAAAAATTAAGCATATAACTTGCACTGTGGACGAATACTAAAATTTTCACGTGGCACCCACTATTGAGTCACCAGTGAATTTGTATCGACATATTAAAAAAAAATTAACTAATACCCTGTATAACTTCAATTACATACACTTTTCTCTTCTTCTCTTGTTTTTTCTTCTTCTTAATTGTAAAATGGGTTTGTTAAATTCGTCGTTGTTTTGATAATTTGATGATTGAAATTTGTTCTTTAGATTGAAAGTTATGTTTCAAATTTGAGTTCATTTATAATATATTAGGGCCTTGAATCTTCTATTGGACTGTTGAAATTGAAAGAACAAGTTTATGTTTGAGAACTTAAGATTAAAAATCTGAAGTTGCATTCAATAGATTGAACTACTTAAGATTCGAATTTCAGAAGTTGCATTTAAAGATAGAAAAACTTCAGATTTGATTTCTGAAGATTGAACCACTTCAGATTCGAATTTCTAAAGTTTTATCTGAAAGGTAGAAGAACTTGATTTCTGAAATTGCATTAAAGAGATTGAACTATTTCAAATCCGAGCGTGAACACTCTGTAACTTTTTGTGCAATGCGGATATAACTTTAATGGTGGCACCAAAAGTGGGTATATATGAAAATGGCTAGGAGGAATATGATATCATTATGATACCTATAGTTGGTGACTAGATGATGGATTAAAATCAGCATGAGCAGTTTTGCAAGTTCATTCCCTGGACAAGCATGGGCTCCATTGCCAAATGGCATATAGGTATTGGGTTTTGGAGCAGCCTATACCACCACGAAAAAAGAGTTAAAATAATAAGAAAAAGGAGCAGGTAAACATTATTTATTCTAAGAGAAGTAGAGAATTAGAAAAGCACTTTGCTAATCAGTGATAACTTACGTCAAATCTGGAAGGATCAAAATCCCAAGGGTCAGCAAAAAAGTCTGGATTATGATGAATGTTTCTGAATAATGGCATGACCTTCCAACCTTTTGGAATTAAGTATCCTGCAGTTAAAAGTTGGGAATTAACCTCATGTTTAGGGCAGTAGCGATGAGGAATATACTTTCTATATCTATATATATATATATATATATAGTATATGAATGAATCTTGGAGACCTTACCGTCGTAAAATACGTCTGTCACGGCTTCTCTAAAGGTGAAAGATATAATGCTTGACATTCTTAAACTCTCTAAAATGACCTGCAGTTGTCCAGCTAATGAGAGGGATTTTCTTTAATTTCTTGAAGGTGTGGAATACATGCATATTCCCAAGTTGTAAATAGTAATTACCCGGTGTGTAAATGGCATATTTCTAGTTTGAATCCATGTCAAGGGCTTCTTTCCTTCTTCATTAGACTCATAAATTTCTATCTGTTCCACCTGCACTTAATTAAAAGGAATAATTTCTGGATTTATGATTCATTATATATAGAAAGGGGCGAAGGGCAGTCTTGACGTAACTGATAAAATTGCTGACATGTGACCTGGAGGTCACGGGTTCGAGCGTTCTAACTACTTTGGTCGGAAATCACCGACGGATTCAGTCGGAAATTGTTTTCCGACCGACCAATTTTAGTCGGAAATTCGTGATTTCCGACCGATTTTCGACCATTTAGGCGGTCGGAATTCTGCCATTTTCCAGTAGTGAGCCGTGGAAATAGCCTCTTGCAAAAATGCAGGGTAAGACTATGTATAATAGACCCTTGTGGTCCGGCCCTTCCCGGACCCCAATATTGCGGGAGCTTAGTGTGCACCCGGCTGTCCTTTTTTTCTATATATAGAAAGGGGAAAAAAGAAACAAAACTAGCTAGAGAGCAGTATGAGTACTATGAAACAACATATATAAATTACCTTAACTGCTTGTAATATTTTGTGTTCGTAATGAAGGTATTTGAGAATCCAAGTTAGAGCACTAGCTGTTGTATCTTGCGCAGCAAAGAGTACTCCAATTATATTGTCGGCAATTTGATCTTCCGTTAAAGTATGTCCCTTTTCATCTTTGAAATTTAATAGACGACCCAAGAGATCCTTAACTACTGTTTTCTTCTCCTTCCTTTCACAAATTATTTCACTAATTATCTCATAGAGCTTTCTCCTTGCCTAGTTTAATTTAACAACAAAAAGTAAGTCCATTATACTATATTAAGTTGCAATGTTGAGGGAGTGAAATCAACAGCTATCGGCGAAAGCTTACGTATTACCTTTGTAGCTTTGTAATATGCGGTTCCTGATAAGTTTGTAGGGAACGAATTGTATCCTTTATTTACTATGCAATAGTTCTCCATTAGCTCCTCTTTGCGCTTTGTGTCCAATTGACCAAAGATAGCAAGAATGCCAACTTCAAATGACAACTGTAACATATATACCCATGAAAATCACATAAAGTTATGGTGATGAGCATTTGAAATAAAACAACAATGGAACAAGCTAGTTAGCTAACCTTCTTCATCTCGTGGAATGTGTTGATTACTTGCTCTTTTGTTGCCCATGATTCCAGTGAACAAATAGATAGGGCCTCGATGTCTTGAACTAGATTTCGAAGAGCCTCAGGAGATAACGAGTTCTGAACCATCTTCCTTAGTCGAGAATGGTAGTTCCCTTGGTGAAAGAACAAAGCAGAAGGGCCAATCATTCTCTCTTTGCTCCTTGGGTACGTCGGTTTGAATAAGTGAGCATTAGTAACCAGCACGAATCGTGCAGCTTCGGGGCTAGCTAGCATAACACAAGGGCATCCAAGAATGTGTGTCTTGAATATATCCCCATATCTGCAAATAATTAAACATTCAATGACTACACTGTTTCTTTCATGTAAATTAGCAAAGTTTTAACAAATTAGTAAAAATTATTGTTGTAGTCGATCAAACCTTTTTTGTTTATTAGCAAAGAAGACATTTGGGTCTTCAGAGTACATTTGGAGAGTTTCCCCTATGTAAGGCCACCCCATTGTACCAGGAGGCAACTTTGCTTTTTCTATGTCTTTTCCTTTTTGTTTAATCTTTGGTACGTGATACAAGAGAAGAGTTGAGAGAAAGAGAAGGAAATAAATCATGGAAAACACAGTCTCCATCCTAATGCACAAGTTCTATTGCTGTGGTTTGCTGGTTTTATTAAATTTATTTCTTATATCAAAAGAAGGCTTTAAAAGGTATGCAGTGTGGATATGTTTAGGGATGAAATAGTTGTCTGCTATATATAGGAGTAGGAGGATTAGGATAGATAGAGATGAATAGGAGATTGGCCAAAAAATTTGGTTACTGCATCTGAAATGTCATAACAGGACTACATTTGCATGTCAGTTTGTCATATGAAGTGGGACCTATTCGCTCTAAAAAAATGACGGACGGCACAGACACAGAGTTAACCTCTTTGTGTTCTTTCTTTTCTAGGAAATGAAATTTTTTGGTTTTGGGCGTCTTGAGAAATAAAATGCAGTTCATACCTTCTAAAAAACGGACCAGATATTATATGGAAGCTGATGGAAAGTCCTAATTTGAATGGCCGTATATTTTGTGAAAGATGAGCTAATAGAGAATCGAGGTAAGAAGCTCCTCTAGTCGAGGTCCGGGTAAACACCTGCCCTTGGAGGAATCGGAGCCACGCCCCCAGGACCGATTCGAATCCCTGCAGTTCGGAAGACGTTATCAGACAATCGAGCATGACCAGCTAAGGACTGTGATATCCGCACCCAGACGGGTATTACGCTGTGAATTTCGGCACATATCGGTAGAGGATCGGTGATTAGTAAAACAGAAGATTTGTACCTTTTATAGAATTATAGGGTGAAAATCCCCTACTATATAAAGGGAGTCTGACTATTCATTAAACAATTGTAACACGCACGTCAAGGAAATATACTTTCATTTTCTCTACTATTCAAAGTTCTTATTTTTCGCTCATCAGTGCTTTGTTATTGTAAGTCTGGAATCGAAGGCAGGCATTTCATTAAGGCTGTTATTGAGTCCTAATTCACCCTCCACAATTGGTTTGAGACTTTATCACGTTTCTTACAAGTTTAATCTGATGAAATTTATCATTTGTAGTAAATTAACCCGCGTATCCTTAAAACCACATATAAATTCAATTGTATCCATTTTTAGGGTAAACAGTTTGGCACCCACCGTGGGGATAAGGATAATAACGGCTATTTGATACAAATTTTCAAAACACACTCTGCTTTACTCTTGTTCTTTGAGATCTTAACTTCAGGAAAACTTAAAGATGTCAAACACTAAATCTGCTCACTTAAACGTTGATGATGAATCTGGCCACCATGGCGAGAACAACAATATAGTACCCAGGAACGAGGTCCACATTGCCGACCCTAACGGGTTCCCGGTCGCAGATCTAATCGATGCCAACTCCCATGTGGCCATGGACGATAACTTGCACACCGATCCGAAAAACAACGTTCACGAAGGAGCCAGGTCGGTAGCCAGGGATACACGCAGCGGTGAAGGTGATGGGATCAACTTGCAGGTAATCTTCGAAATGTTACAGGCTCAACAGGCAACGATAGCCCAGTTGCAAAACTAAAGCCACACCTCTAGTAGAGTTGAGCCCGAACCATCCTGGGAAAACACTTACATGAATGAACCAATCACAGAAAGGCCGAGTGAAGCTGAATCCGGGACCAACCCTGAGATAATAAAGATGCTCGAGAAATTGACGAAACGGGTAGAATCGAGAGAAAACAAAATCAAAGCTAACGACAAAGGTGGAGACCTTTAACTCCAGGGTCGATCAAATACCGGAAGCACCACCGATACTGAAAGGCCTGGATTCCATGAAGTTTGTCCAAAACCCTTTCCCCCCGAGCGCAACTCCAAAGACAATCCCTAAGAAGTTCCGTATGCCTAAATCTCGAAGTATAATGGAACGACTGATCCAAATGAACATGTGACCTCCTACACATGTGCTATCAAGGGGAAGACTTAGACGATGATGAAATCGAATATGTTCTGCTGAAAAGGTTTAGAGAGACCTTGTCAAAAGGAGCCATGATATGGTATCACAACTTATCCCCTAATTCTATCGACTCGTTTGTTATGCATGCAGATGCCTTTGTAAAAGCTTACGCCAGGGCCATCAAGGTCGACACCAGGAAGTCATACCTTTTCAAGGTAAAGCAAAGAGATAACGAGATGCTCAGGGAATTCGTGTCGAGGTTTCAAATGGAAAGGATAGATCTGCCTCCGATCGTAGACAATTGGGTCGTTCAGGCATTCACCCAAGGACTCAATCCCCAAAGCCCGTTGGCTTCACAGCAGTTGAAGAAAAATTTGATAGAATACCCGGCGGTAACTTGGGTCGACATCCATAGGTACCAATCAAAAATTAGGGTCGAAGATGATCAGATTGGAGCCCTTTCTGGGTCTGTTTACCCTGTCAAGATCAGTGACAGATCCAAAAGATTCATCGATCACGAACAAAGATCGAACAGAGATCGGTATCAACCATATAATGGAGATCTAAGGAGCAATAGGTCCGGACGCAACCCTGCGAGGAGTGAAAGAAGGAGTGATTGAGGTCATAATAATCGGGGCACTCATGAGAAAGTATAGTTTTGACAGACCCATCGGGTCCAAGGAAGCACCAAGGTTATCGGAGAATAACTTCAACGTCGATGCTGTCGGTATCGTATCAGCCATCGGATGCATCAAAGATACTAAGTGGCCTCGACCATTGCAATACAATCCTGCCCAAAGGGACTCCAATCTAATGTGTAAATATCATGGCACCACGGCCATAGAATCGTAGACTGACGACAACTAAGAGAAGAAGTAGTCGGGTTATTCAACAATAAATAGATCGAGCAAGAGGAACCTCAGTACGTCATTAATATGATCATTGGTAGAGGTTATATCCCCCAACGATTGGCGTTGAAACGCAGTAAAGTATCCACTAGAAGGGAAAAACGAACTCGAGACTATATACAGAGGAACCGTATCTTTCAACGACGAGGACATTGAAGACATCGTGCAACAGCACAATGATTCCCTAGTGCCTGCAGTTTGAGTGTTAAACGGATTCAACATGGCATGCGAGACCACTAAAGGGGAGATAACCCTACCAGTAAACACTGTTGGGACCATTCAGGACACAAAATTCTACGTGATCGAAGGAGATATGCGGTACAATGATTTATTCGGGAGGCCATGGATTCACAACATGAGGGCAGTAATATCGATGTTACAGCAGGTTTTAAAATTTCCTACACCGGGAGGGATCAAAATAGTTTACGGGGAGAAACCAGCTGCAATAGAAATGTTCGCGCTCCATGAGGTGGTCTCGATATCTATACTTTTGACATCGAAGAACCTAAGTTCAGTCACCAAGGGAGAAACTAAATAGCAATCACCGACACCCACTCCAACTCAACCAAAAAAGCAAGACACAGACGAGGATGACGACTATGGAGCCCATAGGTCTTTCATAGCCTCTGACGATTCTGATACCACCAAGTCAACGGTTGAGGAGCTGGAGCAAGTCAGGTTGATCGAGCACCTACCTAATCGAAAGGTATACCTGGGCATGGGACTCACTCCTAGGCTCAGAAAAAACTCATTGAATTCCTTGTAGCTAACATAGATTGCTTCGTTTGGTCCCATCTTGACATGAAAAGGATCCCGATGGAAATAACTACTCACAAGCTGAGCCTGGATCCGAAGTTTCACCAGGTTAAACAATAGAGGAGGCTCATTCTGAAGTCAAGCATGCATTCATCAAAGACGAGGTATCCAAACTTCTTTAAATAGGTTCGATTCAGGAAGTTAAATACCTAGATTGGTTAGCAAACGTAGTGGTAGTGCCTAAAAAGGGAAATAAATTGAGAATGTGCGTAGATTATAAAGACATAAATAAGGCATGCCCCAAAGACTCTTTTCCTTTGCCTAACATCGGTCGCATGACCAATGCGATGGCCGGCCACGAGATACTCAGCTTTCTCGACGCTTATTCCGGGTACAACTAAATTTGTATGGACCCGAAGGACCAAGAAAAGACTTTCTTCATCACTAAATATGGCACCTATTGTTATACGTAATGCCATTCGGACTAAAAGAATGCTGGTGCCACTTACCAACGCTTAGTAAATCGGATGTTCAAAGAATAAATAGGGAAATCAATGGATGTTTACATTGATGACATGTTTAGTTAAGTCCCTGTGAGCTGAGGACCATTTAGAACATTTGCAGGAAACTTTCAACATACTGAAGAAATACATATGAAGCTGAATCCAAAAAAATGTGCATTCGGAGTCGGGTCCTGGAAATTCCTTGGATCCATGGTGTACAACCGGGGAATCGAGATCAATCCCGACAAGATCAAGGCCATAGAAGATATCACCATGGTGGATAATATCAAGGTTGTTCGAAGAATAACCATGAGCATAGCCACTTTAGGTCAGCTCATTTCAAGGTCTTCCGATAAGATCGATTGATTCTTCTCGTTATTGAAAAGGAAGAATAACTTCTCATGGACCCCAAAGTGCCAGCAGGCTTTGGAAGAACTAAAACGGTACCTTTCGAGTCTACCTTTGCTTCATACTCCAAAGTCAGACAAACAGTTGTACCGGTACTTGGCAGTATCCAAGATAGTGGTAAGTAGAGTCTTAGTTCGGGAAGAATAAGGTATGCAATTTACTATATGTTATGTTAGCAAGACTCTAGGTGAGGCCGAAACAAGGTATCCACACCTAGAAAAATTGGTGCTCGCTTTGCTAAGCGCCTCCAGGAAGTTAAGGCCGTATTTTCAGTGCCATCTCATATGTGTCGTGACTACTTACCCATTGAGAAAAATAATATACAAACCCGAGCTCTCGAGATGATTTGACCAAATGGGCCATGGAAATTAGCGGGTACGATATTGAATATTGACCCTGAACCGCCATCAAGTCTCGAATTTTAGCAGACTTTGTGGCCGACTTCACGCGGTCATTAATACCCAATGTTGAAAAAGAATGGTTGTTAACCTCTAGGACCTCCTCGGGGATCTGGACCCTATTTACAAATGGTACATCAAACGCAAAGGGGTCTGGACTCGGTATCGTATTGAAGCCGCCCTTGGGTAATGTATCTAGGCAATCTATTAGAACTGTGAAATTGACTAGCAATGAGGCCGAGTATGAGGCCATGTTTGCGGGTCTCGAATTGGATAATAGCTTTGGCACCAAAGTGATCGAAGCTAAATGCGATTCCCTTCTCCTGGTCAATCAAGTCAACAGGATATTCAAAGTAAAGGAGGAACGAATGCAAAGATACTTGGATAAATTACAAGTAACACTGCATAGATTCAAAGAATGGACCCTACACACACATATCCAGGGACCGAAATAGCGAAGCCGATACTCTGGCTAACTTGGATCATTAGTTGACGACGACGAATGTAGCTCGGGAACGGTCGTACAACTCATGAAATCAGTAGTGGAGGAAGGACACATTGAGATAAACTCGACAAGCTTAACCTGGGACTGGAGAAACAAGCATATAGATTACCTGAAGACCGGGAAGCTACCCTTGGATCCTAAAGAGTCGAGGGCTCTGCGCACGAAGGAAGCCAGGTTTAGCTTGTCCAAAGATAATACCCTATTTAGAAGAATGTTCGACGGCTTACTCGCCATCTGTCTAGGACCGGGAGACACCGAATATATTTTGAGGGAAGTTTACTAAGGCACTTGCGGAACCATTCGGGGGAAGAATCGTTGGTTCGTAAGATAATCAGGGTCAGCTACTACTGCGCCAATGATCCATCAGCCCGGGGAGCTACTACAT